TTAATAAAAAGAAGCACTTTCAAATGTTTTGAATGGAGATGCAAAAAATTACAGTGCAGTTCATGTCATTGTATATCATGTTACAAGAAACCTTACTATGTGTAAAGCTGGCTATATAACACTACATAGTACAGTAACGATCGTCATTTCAATGACTTGAAAAATGTCGTAGGAAAGAAAGTCAAAATTTCATTTGGTTTTAACATTCAATTTTGGAAAAAATGGACCGTGCTGAATGAAAAGCACATACACTGTTAGAAGTTAGCTCATTTGGGAAAAATGTTCCATCCTGAAAAGTCAAATGTTTTTTGTCACTGTGGTAGAAAAGTAACATTATTTTTCATCTCATTAATGATTAGAAAATCGAACGGACATTCTTAAAGCAAAACATTTTAACAAATATTCTACTAGTACATTATTATTATACAGGATTTATATAGCACCAACAGTTTGCGCAGCGCTTTACAACATCAGGGCAGACATTACAGTTACAATACAATTTGGTAAAAGAGGAATCAGATTGCCCTGCTTGTTAGAGCTTACAGTCTAAGAGGGCTTAAGTACAAGGTCCCAATCAGGGGCGGACTGACAACTCATGGGGCCCCTGGGCAACGGGATCATGGGGCCCCTGTGTCCTTGCCCAACTCAAAAAAGCCTATGAAAAAGGTACCAGGGGCATCTCATGGGGCCCACTAGTGACCCCGGGCCCTCGGGCAGTGCCCGAGTTTCCAAATGGTCAGTCCGTCCCTGGTCCCAACAATTACCATTTTACTTGTTATTGTTACCTAGGTTCACATCTAAGCAATTTCCGCAGCGTTTTGCAAAAACGCACTGCAGTCCAATTTACATGATTTAGTATGGGACACATTCACATCTCCGCGTTTTCACCCAGTATGTTTTTTGGAAAGGGTCAGGGACATTTTTGAAAGCAAAAAGTTGCATTTTTGGTTCTATAGACTTCAATGGAAATGCTGCAGAAAGGCATGTAGTGTGTTTTTGATGCATTTTTAATGCATTTTGCATTTTAAATCTGCCTAGCAACAAGAAAAAAATAAAAATGAAAAAATAGACGCAGCAAAAACACGTTAAAGGCGAAGGTGCAAAAACGAAAAACGCAATGCAGAAACGGGTCAAACGCAAACTGCATAGGTGTGAACCTAGCTCAACATTGGTTCCCATATGGCAGGATGTCATTAAGTGTTCTTTCATGGCAAGACCATTTACTGTTATCTCACATATATATTCTTATTATTATAGCCAAATTTACCACCCTAACTCCTCCCACAGTTTTTACACTACATAGACAGTAATATACCGAAATGTGCGGATTGTTCCCGATTGGTGTGCTATTACTTTGTGGAACGTTTCGCTGAATGGTTCACGAAATATCGGCGTTTTTTGTGGTGAAATTCGTCCCATAGGAATGAATGGCGGAATGTTCAAAACTAGAGTGGGAGCTGACAAAAGCTAGAGTGTGAGCTGAAAAATCAGGACATGATTTCTAAACTGCCATCACTCCCTCATTTTCAAGCCCACCTACACATCTTATATTGTAACGTTCAGCTATCCCTGCTGCCACTAAAAATGTCCACGGCTAAGCCATAGTCCTGATAGTTTTTACAATATGACCATTTGTTTGCAACTCATGCCGCCCATTGACATTCACTCTAGCCACCTCAAATTTGAAGGGCAATCTCTAAACTGTGACTGTGCCTTCATTTTTAATATTTCAGAGACATACTATGCATCAACATGTAGGTCTGGGTCTTGTGATTCTCACAATATAAAGCTCTTCGGTGTAGGATTTATAATTTTTTAAACTACAACTGTTTGAAGATGGCAACCTCCAGTGAAGTGAGCAAGTTGGAGAAGTTTGTTTTTAACCGCTCTTCTCTGCCCTTTTGTAGAGTGAGTTGCCATAGGAACCCAGGTGTGTGAGCAGGCAGCAGAGTGACAAGAACACTTCACACAATTTCCCCAGAAATTGTGGAGATTTTCTAGTTATTATTATTGTTATTTGTTATTATTATACTGGATTTATATAGCACCAACAGTTTCCACAGCGCTTCACATTCAAAAGGGAGACAGTACAATTACAATACAATAAAATACAATAGGGTTAAGAGGGCCCTGCTCATGCTCATTATGTAAAGGTTAAAACCCCACAGAAAAGGTTGAGAACCCACACTCAGGCTTGCTTCACACCTATGCGTTTTTTAGTGTGTTTTGCAGAAACACACTGCAGTCCATTTAACAAGGTTTCCTATGGGACATGTTCCCATCTACTTGTTTTCAGACACTGCATTTTAAAAAAAAAAGGTAAGGGACTTTTTTTCTGCAGCAGATTGTGTTGTTGGTGGAATAGACTTTAATTGAACCGCACTGTAAATGCAGGTTTTTTTGGCAGATAGGAAAGTATTGAGTGTGACTTTGATGCGACTTTACACTCTCTGGCACTGAAGTTGCATCAAAATTGCATCAAAGTAGTGCAGGAACAGTTGCAGCGACTTTGAAAAGGTTCCTGCGCCACTCTGATGAGACTTTGATGCGATTTTACAATCTCAGGCACTCAAGTCGCATCAAAGTAGTGCAAAAACATTTTCAAAGTGGCTGCAACTTTGAAAAGGTTCCTGCACTACTTTGATGCAACTGAGTGCCAAAGAGTGTAAAGTCGCATCAAAGTCGCACTCAGTACTTTCCTATTGGAAAAAAAATGCATCATAAACATAAAAACGGCCAAGAAATCGCACCGGAAAAACATTAATCGGAACACACATAGGTGAGAACCTGGCCACACTGAATATAAACAGGAATGTATAGTGACAATTCTATATACAGATGATGCATAACAAAAGCATAGAAACTAAAACAATCTGGAAATGCAAGCAGGTAAAAAGAGCAAAGCACAAAAGCATATCATAGAACAACAGAACAAATCCGGAAATAGGAAATGCAGGCTAAGCAAGGAAAGGAGGTATGACAAATGACAAGGCAAGGCATGGTACAGGACAGGTTTGTTCACAAGGTGTTTGAGCATACACAGAACATAGTACTGAGATACCTCCACCTGTGGTATGGTGCACCTGCTGAATAATACAGCATAAAACCCCATTCTGGTGACCACTGGAACGAATGCCAGAGGATTTCCAAGGCAGAGAGTCCTCAGCAGGAGAAAGGCAGTAATTGCCAGGACCTTGTAAACTCTTCTGATGCAAGTACAGCGGATTGCTTTGTCTCTGGTAGACATTTATAGAAACACTTACCTCTATTGTTACATACTCCTTCAACTTCTTACATGTAGAGAAAACTGTTTCTGATGTTGCAAAACTCAAAATACCAGAGTTTATTCTTCATCCTAACAACCAAAAATTAAATATACTGAATAGCCATTCATTTAATCTGATTACCATCGTTTTCTTTAGTTTTAAAAATATGGCAATATAGTAATACAGGTAGCTTTGAAAGAGAATACATTGCCTTGAAAAAGTATTCATACCCCTTGAAACGTTCCACATTTTGTCATGTTACAACCGAAAACGTAAATGTATTTTATTGGGATTTGTAGAACTACCTTTCGCTGCAATTACAGCTGCAAGTCTTTTTGGGTATGTCTCTACCAGCTTTGCACATCTAGAGAGGGACATTTTTGCCCATTCTTCTTTGCAAAATAGCTCAAGCTCTGTCAGACTGGATGGAAAGTGTCTGTGAACAGCAATTTTCATGTCTTGTCATAGATTCTCAATTGGATTTAGGTCTGGACTTTGACTGGGTCATTCTAACACATGAATATGCTTTGATCTAAACCATTGTAGCTCTGGCTGTATGTTTAGGATCGTTGTCCTGCTGGAAGGTGAAACTCCACCCCAGCCTCAAGTCCTTTTACAGACTCGAACAGGTTTTTTTCTAAGATTGCCTTGTATTTGGCTCCATCCATCTTCCCATCAACTCTGACCAGCTTTCCTGTCCCTGCTGAAGAAAATCATCCCCACAACATGATGCTGCCACCACCATGTTTTACGGTGGGGATGGTGTGTTCAGGGTGATGTGCAGTGTTAATTTTCCACCACACATAGCGTTTTGCTTTTAGGCCAAAAAGTTAAATTTTGGTCTCATCTGACAGAGCACCTTTTTCCACGTTTGCGGTGTCCCCCACATGGCTTCTCACAAACTGCAAACAGGACATCTTATGGCTTTTTTTCTTAACAATGGCTTTCTTCTTGCCACTCTTCCATAAAGGCCAGATTTGTGGAGTGCACGACTAATAGGTGTCCTGTGGTCAGATTCTCCCACCTGAGCTGTGGATCTCTACAGCTCCTCCAGAGTTACCATGGATCTCTTGGCTGCTTCTCTGATTAATGCTCTCCTTGCCTGGCCCAGCTCAGTTTAGGTGGACGACCATGTCTTGGTAGATTTGCAGTTGTGCCATACTGTTACCATTTTCAGATGATGGATTGAACAGTGCTCCATGAGATGTTCAAAGTTTGGGATTTTTTTTTTTATAACTTAACCCTGCTTTAAACTTCTCCACAATGTTATCCCTGACCTGTCTGGTGTGTTCCTTGGCCTTCGTGATGCTGTTTGTTCACTAATGTTCCCTAAAAAATCTCTGAGGGCTTCACAGAACAGCTGTAGTTATACTGAGATTAAATTACACACAGGTGGACTCTATTGACTAATTAGGTGACTTCTGAAGGCAATTGGTTCCACTAGATTTCAGTTAGGGGTTTCAGAGTAAAGGGGTTGAATACAAATGCATGCCACACTTTTCAAATATTTGTAAAACATTTTGAAAACCATTTATCATTTTCCTTCCACTTCACAATTATGTGCCACTTTGTGTTAGTCTATCACATAAAATCCCTATAAAAAAAACATTTTACCATTTTGATTGTAACATGACAAAATGTGGAAGATTTCAAGGAGTATGAATACTTTTTCAAGACACTGCATCGTTGTATCATATGTCTTCAGCACCTCTTCCTCAGTACCCCATATATTCACCTGCTGTTAAACTTCTCAGGATATTTCTCCCTCATAACATGGAAACGATGTGCAATGGAGGCATCCTGCAGGAAGGAAACATCGTAAAGACTTATGAAAGGTAAAGGTTTCCATAAAACTGATTTTTTAGTAGAAACAAAATGACTTTTTCAACAGGTTAATAATGAAAATTTCAGGGATTATTTTTTTTTATAAACATTGATTTTACTTGTACTTGCTGTGTAATATAAGTTAAATTTTGGTGTGCTCATGTCAAGCACTCTTTAAAAGATTGTGTCTATTTCCTTGTTTACAACAGAAGGAAAGCAGAACAGAATAGCTAAAAATATGCATCGCTATTTCCCTCATAACTGAATACATTTATGTCTCCCTGTGAGCAGCATCTGTAGAGTTAACAAATATTGGATCAAGAAAATGTGTCCAGTATAGATGTGGTTACTTGTGACCAAAGTAATCTAACTTTAGGAAAGTTAGAAACAATGATTATGAAGCACTCAGCTGGGATTTGTATTCAACGCAAAGATCATTAGCTAGATGTAGAAGTCTTTATAAAGATTTTTTTTTAAATATTTAAGATGGGATAGTTTATCTTGGGAGGATATTTGAGGGCCAGTTCACATCTCAAAAGCACCGGAACGCGGTCAGTGTTCCTGCAGGCTTCCTGTGTGATTCAGTGCTGTGTGATTTTCAGCCCATTCATTTGAATTGGCTGAAATCACCCTGGATCGCACCAAAAGTAGTACATGCACAAAAACACTCTGCAACCGGATCCCATGGTACTTAGGTACCATTTGATCCTGTGCAGGCAAACATATTGCACCGAGTGGTCCCTTACCTCCTCTACTGGGATCCCCCCCCCCCCCCAACCAGCGCTCTCCACTCCTCCACCTCTCCAACTGTGTCCCTCCCAGGCCAGGCTGTGTGCATCCATAGGCATACACAGTGTCTCAGCTACGTCTCCCCTCTTCACAGGAGTTTACTGACAGTAGCAGAAGCCGTTGGCCCCCACTGCTCTCAGTGAAGCCTGTGATAGTAGGAAGAGAAGAGAGCGGTGCTGCAGATGAGCACAGTGCTGAATCGAGAGAGGATTCAGGTAAGTGTTTAAGGTGGGGGGCTGGGGGGGCTGCTGTTGGAAGGTGTTGTATCTTAATGCAGAAAATGTATTAAGGTAAAACCTATTTCCTTTAAAAGTACTTTAACTGGCTTGGAGTTCATGAAAAGCTCTCTATCTGAAGTGTGTTTTCACAGGGGTTATCATTTCCTACCATTTTTCTGTAGCCATAGAAGATGCATCTATTTTTCTTATCTACCCCTCCATTCACTACCTAATGATGGTTGGCGGCCAATTACGGTCAAGCACTTGTTTGTTGCTTCAAAGCTGCTTTAACATTTACCCCTTTTTTATGTTTTGTAGTAATATTGCCCTGAAAAGCCACTGGAGATAATGAGATTCCAAGTCACTTGAAATAATGGGAGCAAAGTTGGTATCAGGGTTAATATATACCACATTCATGTTCTATAGACGGTATGTTAAAGAATATATACACCTGTAGTATATGTAACGAGTAAAGACAGTACTGCATACCACTCCAATGGAAAAGTAGTTATTGATGATTTCATATGGGACAGGATCTCCTTTTTCGTTGGGGTTCTCAGGTATGACTTCAATATTCCATCGGTCCATTAAAAGAATAGTGCTGCTTTCAATGTCCTTTAGCACTTTAACTAGATTTTCGCCATCATACCCTGCAAATAATAAAGCCAAAAAATACGCATTGACTAACAGCTCAATGAGCATACCATACTTTATCATTCAACTAACTGTAAACTCATGGCTTTGCCACTGTAACACTTATCAATTTATCATATTTAACATGCAGGTGAGACTAAGAAGTATAATAGGTATATTAAGATTATTTGCACTTACTGAAAAATGTTTTCATTGGGGGACACATGAATATAATAATTATTGGTCATTGGAGTTAAACTGACACCGTATGAAGGTTTGAACACAAAAAAAAAAAAAAAAAAAAAATTTAAGCCAACCCCTGTATAACCCTGCCTCCAACCTCTTGCAAGCAATATATAATAAGGCCAAAAGCACGGAAGGGTGGGACCAGGAGCGGACTGACAACTCATGGGGCCCCCGGGCAATAGGGGAACATGGGGCCCCTGTGTCCTTGCCCAAACTCAAAAAAGCCTATGAAAAAGGTACCAGGGGCATCTCATGGGGCCCCCTACTGACCCCCGGGCCCTAGGGCAGTGCCCGAGTTTCCAAATGGTCAGTCCGCCCCCCTTGGGTGGGACCTATGTCATTTAATGGGCTTTAACCACTTCAATTATTTTTTTTTTTATTTGTTAAATTTTTTTCTCTTTTTACTATTTAATTTTTCAGCACACTGTGACCAAAGCAATACAATATTACCATTACCTTTGTAATGTACAGCGCTGAGCGAACTATTGGCGCTTTATAAATACTGTATAATAATAATAATAACCATAGTAACAATGAACTACTTTGGGCAAGTGATCAGGATTTTTTTTAACACATTATCATTGCTAATACCAATGTATTTCATTGATATTTGCAGTCATTGTTACTGAATGAAATGGATTAATTCAGTCTTTTGTTGTGATTAGCTGTGATTGGGCAAAGCTGATTGTATGATACAGATGGGCTGTGATTGGCCCTTTCTACATCATGTGACTGCCTTGACCAGTCACAGCTAACAACATAATTGTATACAATGGATGGCATGACAGGAAGCCATCCATTGTATACAATTGACATGTGATCTGTTGTTATTGGTCACAGAGGTCACATGACACTGGCAACAGGTTGGTGTAGTGATATGTCATTGGCTGTGTCCCGTCGACACAGCCAGTGACAGATCGCATCGCTGCGCGGCCTCGCGGTCGCGTGAGCGGCTCATTTTGACAGGACTTCAAATGACACCCAGTCACAACGGCGAGTGTCCCGCACGGCTGTCAATTTGCTATAGGCCGGGTGGGAAGGTGTTAAGAAAAAATTTACATGAGTACAGATATCTTATTTGATTTATTGTCAATTGAAAGACACAGTAATTATTGGATGTACGTATATACAGTATGTGTCTAAAAGCAATCCAACTGGGGGTGGGCAACAGCAACCAAGATAACCAACTGATGTGAAAAACCCTACTACAAGAATATCTAAATGATCCATACCTAAACAAGGCTAGATGAAAACACAGGGAGAAATATGAAAATAGCAACCAGAAAGGAAGTGACCAAGAAAAAACCAATGTGCCAGAACAAGGTAGGTAGCCCCACCAAGGGAGGCTGCTATGAAGAGAATGAGGGATCCTCAACAAAAATGTTTAGGACAATCAATCACCTAACATAAGAAAAAATCAAATGGATGAAAACTATAAAAAAAAAAAACATTTATATGGTAAAGGTTGAAGTGTAGTACACCAAATGTGTTACTTTGAGAAGAGAAAGGTGGACAAGTTTTGTCCCAACCAATCAACAACCAGCAAACACCTAGGGCTTAAAGCAGAATACTTCTAATTGTTGAAATCAACAAGAGGGTAATTCATAAGACAACAACAATTTCAGCAGTAAACTGAGAAAGAGAGGCAAGCCATCAAGGCATGTAAAGCAAGAACCAGTAGGTAAATGGCGTAAAAGGAAACCCTATCTTATCTTGTCCACATCACTGGTCCCATTCAGGATCCAGGCTTTGGCGAAGGAGCCATAGGAATGGACTACAGCCCTGGACCTATATATCAACCTGCTACACTTGTTGCATCATGTGCCAAGGTAAATGCCGAACACAGGACTGAGTGCCCAGAGCAAACATTACAGTCCAGCCCTGTGACTGCAGTGTCTGGGTATGGTTCCCAAGGTGTGCTCAAGGGTCAATGATCAAGAAACTGCTAATAAGCCATGAAGGCAGTAAACGATCAGCTCTTGATAGGTGTCATTCCAAGGAGGCTATTAAATTTGTTGAAAATATTATGGGAAATTCTGATCCAAGAGGAGAGGGTGTCCATCACATATGGACACTAGCAAAAATCGGAAGCCTCCCAGAGTGGACGGGGTTGTATGGGGACATAAGGAGGCAAACCCAGCAAAGCTCTTTCCAGTGTCTAATCTCCTAAAGGTAATGGGATATAACCCTTGGTCTATGAATCGAATCCTGTGTCCTGTACTGTACGATAAAAATAATTTTTTTATGGAGCTCCTCTTTATGTCTCCAGTTGTATTTGCAAGGATTTTAAATTCCAATTCTATCAATTTTTTTTTAGTTCTTGAAACAGCTGGGAATGGGTAACAATTCTGTCATGTTTAACTGCGGTTTGTGTCTACCCTAGGGAGTTTTAGTCACTTCCTGTCCTTGTGATGCTTAGTTTATTGGGGGAGGGTGACAGGATATCTCTGGAACAGCAAGTAAGGAGACAACAATGAAACCTGGCAGACATCCTGAGCCTGCAAAGTTTTATTTCCCCCATTATTTAAACAGATTGAAAGAAATTAATCTTTGGGTCATTTTTATTACCGTATTTGCCGGCGTATAAGATGACTTTTTACCCCTTAAAAATCTTCTCAAAAGTCGGGGGTCGTCTTATACGCCGGTAAACGGCATACTGACACTTTTTAGGGGGGCGGCGCGTTGCCGCCGCCGCCGCCCCCCCCCCCTTCCCCCAATGGAAGGGACACTAAGTACAGGGGTGGGCAGCGGCTGTTTCTTACCTGGTTCCGGTCCAACGACGATCCGGTCCAGGAAGCGCGGCTGCGCCTTCAGTTCAGTCACTGGATGTTCGTGCGGCTGCTCGGCTCCGCCTCCTCACCAGTGATTGGCCACCAGAACTGTAGCTCAGGAAAGGCACACAGGCGGCCAATCACCGGCGAGGGGGTGGAGCCGAGCGGCCCCGCGAAAATCGACTGCAGGACCAGCAGGTAAGTGGTCAGTGTAGAGGTGCTGCTGCAACCACATATGCTGGCTGCAGCAGCACCATACGAGAACAGGGTCAGCAAGTGTCAGTGGGAGGAATAGTGCCCCATCATTGGTGTCACTGATACCAATGATGGAGCACTATTCCTCCCACTGATACCAATGATGGGGCACTATTCCTCCCACTGACACCAACGATGGGGCACTATTCCTCCCACTGACACCAACGATGGGGCACTATTCCTCCCCCCCACTGACACCAATGATGGGGCACTATTCCTCCCCCCCCACTGACACCAACGATGGGGCACTATTCCTCCCCCCCACTGACACCAATGATGGGGCACTATTCCTCCCCCCCACTGACACCAACGATGGGGCACTATTCCTCCCCCCCACTGACATCAACGATGGGGCACTATTCCTCCCCCCCCACTGACACCAACGATGGGGCACTATTCCTCCCCCCCACTGACATCAACGATGGGGCACTATTCCCCCCCCCACTGACACCAATGATGGGGCACTATTCCACCCCCCACTGACACTAATGATGGGACACCATTCCTCCCACTGACACCAATGTTGGGACACCATTCCTCCCACTGACACCAATGATGGGGCACTATTCCCCCCACTGATACCAATGATGGGGCACTATTCCCCCCACTGATACTAATGATGGGGCACTATTCCTGCCACTAATGCCAATGATGGGGCACTATTCCTGCCACTGATACCAATGATGGGGCACTATTCCTGCCACTGATACCAATGATGGGGCACTATTCCTGCCACTGGTGTGCATTGGAAGAGGGGTAGTCTTATACGGCGAGTATAGCTCAAACACTAAATTTTAGCAGGAAAAGTAGGGGGGTCGTCTTATACGCCCAGTCGTCTTATAGCAAATACGGTAGTTGTTCTTTCTCTTTTAAACATTATGGGGTTTATTTACTAAACCTGGTTGACTCAGAATCTTGGGCACCTGTGCATGGTAGCCATCAGCTTCTAACCTCAGCATGTTCAGTTAAGCTTCAGCAATAAAACCTGGAAGCTGATTGGTTTTTATGCAGAAGTGGACAAGATTCTGAGTCAACCAGGTTTAGTAAATAAACCCCTATATGTCAGGCTGGACGCTCACAAAATAGTCACGAAAAATGTCTAAAGGTTTGGACTCTTGCAGTCATTTTATGAAAATCTGCATCCCACCAGTACTTAAAATGGCCTTCAACTATTCACCTCCAAATAAATGACACTAGGTATCCCCTTTTATGCCCATTCACAGACTGGAAACTTGGGTCACCCTTAATCAGGTCTATCATACCGCATGATGTAATATAGAAGGTGAGCACAAACAGAATACTTTTAAGGCGTCAAGTCAGTTGCTATTTAAATCTACTTAAAAAAGGCACTCTGCATCCTCACAGGAAGATTTGAGAACATAGTCAGCTAGGCATAACATATTTAATAATGGGGGATTTCATACTGGCCAATAGTTATCAAAATGGCACAAGTATATTGTCAAAGGCTGGTAGATCCATGCAAACAATGCCAGATGAAATTATCTAGAGCAGGGGTGTCAAAATGGCGGCCCTCCAGCTGTTGCGTAACTACAAGTCCCATCATGCCTCTGCCTTTGGGAGTCATGTTTGTAACTGTCAGCCTTGCAATGCCTCATGGGACTTGTAGTTTGGCAACAATTGGAGGGCCGCCAGTTTGACACCCCTGATCTAGAGAATATGGTATCCACCATGTGTATTTTCTAATAACCACTCTTTTTGAGCAGTGTTGCACTTGTCATGCTGCTATGTTTTATATCCACCATGTGTACCCAAGTTCACCACAAATCTGATTCCTCCTCCACAAGGACAAGTGGCTGGGCTGTTATGTATGCAGCACTTGGCACAAAATACTCACCTCCTCCCCATCTTAGACAGCGAGCTAGGTCATTTCCAGTGCCCAGGGGCAAGACAGCTACAGGAGGCCTTTGGGGAAGATTGGCTTTATCTAAGAAAAAATAATTTTTAAGAATGTGATTGCCATTTTACAAAGCACATGAAAGAGTAAAAAAAGAAATCAGTACATTCAGCACAAATGTTTGTGTTCACAACCATCACATTTAAAGACTCTAGAAATGAGCTATATCACATACATATATACAAACGGGTCATATGCTGTACGTATTATGTAATTGTGATTCTCAGAATACATTAGGCAACCTAGGCATTTACCACACGTGCTATAAATATTCTCTAGAACTTATCCAAAGTTTATCCAAAGATCCTAACAACATATTTTGGAAAGAACTATAGAGGACTATTCTGAATAGAGTGGTGAATCCTTCTGTTCAATCAGTTTGTACACAAAAAGGGATAGCTTAAATCTGCTCTGCGAAACAGATCCTAACACATTACAATCTCATTGTACAATCTCCTTAATATTTACCATCAAGTGAGTGTAGCATAAGAGCCCACCCAATCAATATATTTTATACATAATCAGGCGAGCCCATGAAATACAGTGATGCTGTTAAAAGTAAATCAGGTTGAATAATCAGATTGCATTATTTGGATGGGGATCTATAAAAAAAAATTGTGCCAGAAACAAACCAAAGAGTAACTTAAAGTGTTACTAAACCCACAACAGTAAAATCAGTCTGTATGTGCAGTAAAGCATGCTTGTTATACTCACTGTGGAACCTAAGGGGTTAATTCTCTGCATTGTGTAAAAAGGATGTTTGATCCTGTCTTCACTGATCCTCTCCTTCTTTCACAGTCCCCAATCCATCCGCTGATAGAACAGAGCCTTGGCGGCAAGCTGCACATGCTCAGTTTGGTGTGTATTGCTAGAGGTTTTTTTTTTCTTGAGAGAGTGCATGTGATCAGCAAAGGGCCAATCAGCTCTGTCCAGACAGAGGGTCAGGCATGCTGCAGCCTCATAGTACAATCGGGAGAGAATAAAAATTCCTCCTACAAGCTTTAACCAGTGCTCTGCTGGATACTGATAGAAGTAACAAGACTGCTATATACTGCTGATGAGAAAAGATAATTAGCAGTTTATATTTACTAAAATAATTGCATTTCCATGTTCTGTGTACTATGGGAGACCAGATATAGTGAATGCAGGGTCCTGGGTTTAGTAACACTTTAAAGAATATGTTCACATTTTCAGGCAGGCTGACTGTTTGCAAGCTACAGGGCTTGTGAATGAAGTATGAGAGCACTCATCAGTTCCCTCACAGTTCTTTCAGAACTGCAAGCCATCAGCCATGGTGGCTCACGGTAGTTGTAAGTCATTCATTCACAGGAAACTGTGAATGAATGATGCAGCCAAGTGGGCGGACCCCTGAACAGCTGTGGTTTTTTTAAATTGTGATAGCAGATGCGGGGAGAAGAGATCCCCTGCCCAATGTCACACTGAGGGGGGATCAAGGGGTCTGGCAGCAGGAGCTGAAGCATGTTACATGTTCCACCCTAAATACGGATGGAACATATAACATGTTCCACCCTAAATACGGGTGGAACATATAACATGTTCCAAAAGGTGAACCTATAACTCCCCACCAAAATACATAAAGAAGTAATGCACAAAATCGTTATACATTTCCTTTAAAGTGATATTAAAGGCTTAATTTTTTTTTAATAACAAACATGGTATACTTATCTGCTCTACAAAAGGGTTTTACATAGAGCAGTCCCAATCTTCCTCTTCTCAAGTACCCTGTTGGTGCTCCTGGCTCCTCCCCTCTGCTGAGTGGTCCCATAGCAAGCCGCTTGCTATGGGGGCAGTCATACGTGCTCCATCCCAAGCGTGCTCCATCCCAAGCCCGCTCCCTTCTTTAGACCTCTATAAAGACACATAGAACGGGTCTTGGCCCCATCCCCGCACCCAATCCCTTCTTACTGGTTTTGACTACTGGCAAATGGCTCCTACTGCTGTCTCTCAGCCAATGAAGAGGCAGAGAGCCGGGACAGCAGCTGCTCTAGTGAACATCACTGGATCGGTATAAGGTTTGGGTAAGTATTAGAGGGGCTGAGGGGGGAGTTGCATACTGAAGGGTTTTTGCCTTCATGCATAAAATGAATAAAGCTAAAAAAACCTTTAGGCTTTGCAACTATTTTAAGTACGTTAACTGCAATATGTATCAATGCTAAATACAACCTGCCAGCTAGAATGAATAATAATGTGAATATGGCTGTAATTACTTCAAACTTGGCCTTATTGATTGACATGGGCTGCATAAGTAAAATTACTATTGTCATCAGCTACCAAATAATATTCAAGCCTTTGGATTTCAAATGTCAGAACAAAAGAATCTGTTTGGTGGTTGCAGACAAACAATCATTTAAAGCTTATTAAAGTTGTTACCAATGGCATCCAAAATCCAACCGACTGTGCCATCTCCACCACACACCAGAACCCGGTAGCTGGGAACATCCCGGAAAAAGTTGAGCCTAGAAATAAATTAAAAGGAAAAAACAGTGCTTACCACAGACAGCTGACCCAATATTTTTGGACAGTCAGTAACAAAATTACTTTGTTCCTTCCCTCAGCAGTTCTTACCCAGGTGTTGGGCCACCCTTCAGTAGGTTATAAACTTGACGGGGGTTCAACAGATACTGGAACTTGCGAAGAACTCTATAGAAAATGAGTTAAAATTAATAAAGAAGAAGTATACCAACATTGAAACGTGTCATTAAAAGTGGAATATAAAAGCTTGTCTTTGTTCAACAGGATTATTCCATGCCCATAGCCAGAAAAGTGTATATCTGCTGTAAGGAAGTAATTTACTATATACTAGAGAATGAAGGGTTAAAGCAAAACTTAATTGTAAAAGTAAAAAATTGTGAGCAGCAGGCTGTTTATTACAGAAGAGACATACCATGTACTGTATTTTCAGCAAATAAAGCATTCCTACCTGCCTGTTCAGATGTTTCTGTTGAATGTACACTGAGCTGTATTGAACAAATGCTAAGGAATAAATAAAATTACATCCTCCCGGTCTGGGCCAGTCAAGAACCCAGTGTAAGTTTTGTGACAGAGCTGCCTGAAATGACAGTGTCTGGGCCTGACAATTGGCCCATCATGCATGAGAGAGCATCTTGGGAGAAAGAGACACGGGTATTTCCTGATGGCTCCAATGAGCAAGAGAGTGGTAACAAAGCAGCAGCAGAGCATAGTGGCTCTAAATGTGCAAAGTGACAGTCTCTTTGGGCTCTGACATATATAATGTCCAAAGTTTTCTTCTATAAAATTGAAGAATACTACCAAACACTACATACGGATTATGATATGAAATCATTGTCACCCCTTACTTATAATGTGCGATGCGACCTAAAGTTTTTACTAGGTGCTGAAATAATTAAAATAAACTAATCATGCAATATATTATTTACAGTCCTTGTTAAATTAAAAGAAAAACTCACCATCTTACCAGTATGAAGACTCACCTTTCACCTTGCTTTCCTCCACTTTTTGGGTTGACAAAGACAAGTAGTGGGTGTGTATCTAGTATTGGGACTATCTGCAAAAAAAATGGAACATGAACCAGAACAGGAATCCAGAAACCCAGGCACACATATGTGTACTTTATGAACACAGAGAGAGTACAGCAGAGGTCTTGGTCTTTTAAAGCAACTCTAAAGGCAGGCAGGAAGTTTTTTACCTTAATGCATTCTCTGCATTAAGGTACAAAACCTTCTGCAAGCAGACCCCTCTTATACTTACCTGAGCCCAAGCAATGTGCATGAGAGCAGAGGCTCGCCCAACTCTCTGCCTCCTTACTGACTCAGACCGCAGTGGGAGCCATTGCTCTTGCTGCTGCCAATCACAGCCAGTGAGGAGGGAGCAAGGGTGGGGTCGAGCCTTGCAATGTGTGTCTTATGGAGCATCGACCTGGGAACAGAAGAGGAGGATCGGGGCTACTCTGTAAACAACTATTGCACAGAGCAGGCAAGTATAACATGTCTGTTATTAAAGTGTTACTAAACCCACAACAGTAAAATCAGTCTGTATATGCAATAAAGCATGCTTGTTATACTCACTGTGGAACCTAAGGGTAAAAAGGATGTTTGCTCCTCTCTTCTCTGATCCTCCCCTTCTTCTACTGTCCCCAATATATCTCCTGGTAGAACAGAGGCTTGGAGGCAAGCTGCAAATGCTCAGTTTGGTGTGTATTGCTAGAGAGTTTTTTTCTTGGGTGGGTGCATGTGATCAGCAGAGGGCCAATCAGCACTGTCCAGACTGAGGGTCATTCAGCCTCACAAGGGAAAATGAAAACCCCTCCTACAAGCTTTAACCAGTGCTCTGCTGGACACTGATAGAAGTCACAAGACTGCTCTAATTGCTGATGAGAAAAGGTATTTAGCAGTTTATATTTACTAAAATATTCAGCAGAAGGCCAATCAGCACTGTCCAGACAGAGGGTCTTGCAGCCTCACAAGGGAGAATGAAATCTCCTCCTACAAGCTTTAACCAGTGCTCTGCTGGACACTGTTAGAAGTCAAAAGACTGCTCTAACTGCTGATCAGAAAAGGTATTTAGTATTTTATATTTACTAAAATAATTGCATTTCCATGTTCTGTGTACTGTGGGAGACCAGATATAGTGAATGCAGGGCCCTGGGTTTAGTAACACTTTAAGAAAAAAAAAATTAAACCTTTACAATCACTTTAAGTATAACCAATGCTGATGTGTCATATTATATAAAAAAAATCAAACATTTTCTATGATAATATAATCATTTAGGATTTTGCTGTATTTAAATAATTCTGAATATCTTTGCACAGCTTTCTGGTTATGTGAAGGTCGGACCATAGTAGTTAAGGAAGGCAGATACTGCACAGTTGCTAATTGCTATTAAAGAAAAGCTCTGCTAAGAGCTATTTACATCTAAAAGAACCATATGACCTCAATGCAATTTTAGAAATACAACCCCTCTGAAAAAAAAAACAATGAGTGATTATGGGGTAACTATGCTAGTTATGTATGTGGCACATTTTTCAAAATAATGTCATCTACTTTTAATATTTAGCCTTGTAAAGAATACTGAGGTACAGATTGGGGTGCAGTACAGTATAATGCATAAAATATTCAATTTAAGGTAATGCTCACTCGAAGTGCTTGTCCCTCTGCAGTGCTGAATATCTGGGATGTGTCCTCTGATGCAGCTATAAGGTTCTTCTGACTGTTTTGTCGTTCCTGAACATGTAAGAGAAAAACAGTGAGAAATTTCATGTGTATAAAAATATGTGGCTTACCAGAGGAAACATTTTCAGTTTAACCTATAAAATGGAAGGAAAGTAGTAATATGTTGCTGTAATATGTCGATCATCAGGTGTTCACAATTTCTGATCCAGAAGCACATAAATTACATCTGAAATATGACTGGCTCTGGTTGGATGCTAAGAGCAAAACATTAATTTTTGGTTGTTTTAAATTAAGGACATTTTCACTACCACTGCACTTTGAAATGCTTATTTAAATTAGAATGACAGAGGCCCCGCACCACCTCACTATCTCTATGAACACCATTATACAAGCTTGGGCCCAGGTCACAGCCCCAGTAGGGAATTGTTCCAGGTGGTACACCCCTGACACTCCATTATGTATAAATCTCACCCTTTGTGAATTCCTATTCTGGACCCTTCCATCTGGGTGGCTAAAGGGATCCAATATATGGCCCATATCTGTGAGAGTTGACAACCTTAACAGTAGATTTGCATTGGCCAATAACTATCTCTTCCATTTCCTCCAGCTCCGCCATGCCTATGCTGCCCAATTTGAAACCACTGTCTTGACTATACGTCATTTCGACATGGAATCTCTTCTTAGGGATGTTTCCCTGGTAAAACCCTTATCAAACATCTACAAGGACCTCCAACCTACGGTACATCATAGTTTGGATGACCTCAAACTCATTTTGGGTGGCGGAGCTGGATGATGAGGATTGAGAGGAAATCTGAGAGTATCCCTTCACTCAGTTGGTCTCTTCTAGGGACCAACAGATTCAATTCAAAATTCTTCATAAGTTCTACTTTACCCCCCATAGACTCCACAAAATCTACCCAGATTTTCCACCCACTTGTTTGTGTTGCGTTGCAGACTCAGCTGGATATTTACATATGATATGGACATGTCCCCATTTGCAGATATTTTGGTTAGGAGTCCTTCAGTTCACTACCCAATTAACCACCATATCTATACCTCAACAGGCATCCATTTGCATATTAGGGCTGGTCAACACCTTGGACCCTACCAGGGCGATTCGTACATTGTTGGTGTTACTCCTGTTCTATGCCAAGAAATCCACTGTACTGAAATGGAGAGCTTCATCTACTCCTACTCTAAACTATTGGAAGCTGCTTGCCAACTTGATTATTCCTCTTTATAAAGAAACGTATATGAATAATAGGGGGTGTCCACATAACTTCAACAAGATATGGGATATATGACTGGAATCCAAGGCTACCATTCTGAGCCAAGGTGACGCATCTGGTACTTTACCCTAACCCAATGACAGAATTTGCCATGGAATGCAGGCTACTGGGCAAACCTGCCCCTCTGTAATCTAGTTTAGGCCACTCCAATATTGCGTGATATGATACCCTGGTTATCTACGGCGGAGGAAGGGGACCAACAGTTCCACAATTATTATTCCACAAGTGTGACTTCCTGACCACTGAGACCACGAGGAGGTCCAGTGGTCTTTGTTTTATACCATTGCCGGGTTAGTACAATTTCTTTTTTCATACCTACCTGTCCGTTATTGGCTAATGGTGTATGGATGTGTATGTGCACATGACCCAGGCATTATTGCTCCAATAAAGTTTTGAAACTACCACACTATTGGCGTTCCCCCTTTTTTCTTGACTCTCCTGTTGGAGGGTGCAGATATACATCTTCCATTCTTGGGGTGTCTGGAACCAGAAGGGGGATCCCTGTCTATCTACCTGAGGCGAGAGGGCCTCTGGATCTGGAGATATTGCTACACCCAAGGCGGATGTTAGTGGTGGAGAGGGAGGATCCGTGTGGTCTCTGGAGCTGCATACCTGGCTGGTCTTTTGGATTATATTATACACAGGCGCATTTAAAATGTGCGGTCGGTGAGTGCGCATTTTTGCTATTTTCCAGTCACCTAATGAGGAGAAGACCTGCACATATTTGGTTTTATTGTCACAAGAAAGACTCTATGAATTTATATTAATTTTATCATATTTTAGCGCTGCACTATATATATGTATAAAGTTCCACAATTATCGGTCTTTTATCATGCCGACTACATCTTTGTTGCACAGCGTTTACAGCTATTTTTTGGAGTCTAGCTCTGTTTTGTACAGTTTTATACAACTAAAATTACAATAAACAGAGTTTAAAAAAATAAACATTAGCACGACAGATTTGGGGCACTCGCATTAGTTTTACTTACCAGAATTACTGGGTAAATGGAAGAAGGAGGCAGTATATGATCTCGTAGGATACCACCATCACACTTTAGAGATATTAAGGAAACACATTCATCATGAACCTACAGAAAATTAAAAGAACTTTTTATAAAGGCAGTAAGCCCATGTAAATATGAATTATACTTTTAAACCGAGTCAAAACATTTTCTAGCTGGACAATACTCTTGTTGTTTACCTTGTCTCTAGCAAAAAAAAAAAAATATGTCTCTTGTTTCTATAGTGCAGTTCTTCAAACTGTTTCCCTATTTAAAAACCTTGTAGCTTACTGGTTTGTAATGTTAGTAACGCTTATGTAACTTTTACCTTTGATAGACAATCTGAAAATGGAAAAAAGGTGATACAGAAATTATACAAGCTGTCAAGGAAAACTCTCAAAGGTTAAATTTCATATGTTTCAAGAGAAAATTAGTATCCTGTAGACTGAGCTGTATAGTATTATTGTAAAAAGCAGACATAAGTTAATTAACAGCTGAAACAAGAGCTACGTTGTCTGAAACAACTAAAATAAGATTTGCTGAAACCCAATACTTGTTAGGCTTATTTGATTTGTTAGAGACTTTAGTTACACTTCACTATGGCTCACTAGTTATGCTAAGTGAGTGCATTTAATCTATGATACTTGTAGGGGGCATCATAGCTATTACTCATCCTTCAATCAATATGCTTCAGCACATTAAACACACATCGATGATATATCTGCATTTCATTCTCCTCTTCAGCTACAATACATTACACAAATGAAAAGCATATCGTGGACCCATCTGTCGCTATTAATGTAAAGTATATTTTAGTAACTGCTATCTTAAATTTTAATGTTCATTTTTTTAACTACGTACTTACCTTGGAATGTAATAACCTTTGCAGTTCTAAGTCATAATTCAATTGTTACATAGTGACATATGTTTACCAAGTTAAGGAAGTGCACATATCAATCAAGTTTAGCCTCTTACAAACCCCAGAAGTTTTGGCCCAAAGGAAAGCAAAAGAAAAGTGCCTAATAAATGTAGACAAATTTATCATTCAGTCTTATTTTTAAAACTGAATTCAAGGCATGCATATTTTTGCATAGTTACATTGGTCCAGCTTTGACCAGTGTAAGTATGCATGTGTCATACCTAGAAGATCCTTGTGGAAGCAAAAAATCACTGTAGTAGTCATTGCAACTACAGTGATTGCTGCTAGCTTTCGGGTCCCTTGCCAAGTGGCTGCTGTGCAAAGCATTCTGTAATTGGACAAAGTGGGGCATGGCAGTCTAATCAGAGAACACTTTGAATTCATTGAAATTGCAACATTTTCTCTGAATGGTCCCCATGCTGAATGAGCAACCTTATATGTTCAATACATAGAAAGGCAGCTGCTTGACACAGGACCCGGAAGCTAGAAGCAATCACTTTAGTAGCGGTGCCTACTACAGTGATTTTTAACTTCCAAAGGAATCAGCCAGGTGTAATACATACATACATACATATTCTGGTCAAAGCTGGAAAAATATGCAAAAATATGCATACCAGAAATTCAGCTATAAATTCTGCTGTTGATTATTCTACTGATACCTTTTTCCATTACTACTGCCACACATTAAACAATTTTACTGTGAAGAACTCCTTATAATAATGCACAGACTGCAAGCTTTCCCCTTTGGGTAGTCTCTGTTACATTAGGATTTAGGGATCATTCACCCTAGAACGTGGTGAGGAAGACTTGCGTTCCGTGCTGGTTTCCAGCACCACATTCAGATCGCACTGCCCTGCAATCTGCAGGGGATGTCAGTGCAATGTTAACGACACCCCAAACACAGTGTGTTTGCCCACACCAGATTGGATGGTACAAAAGTACCATGCAATCTGGTTGCAGTGCATTTCCCAAAGTAGTGCATGCACTACAATTGGTGCGGTGCGACTTCAGATCATTGAAAATTAATAGGCTGAAATCGCACTGCAGAGAACTGCATGTGAATCGCACAGGAACGCACAGCACTTTGCTGTGCAATTCACATGCAGTTCCAACCTCACAGTGAAACTTTGTAAACAAAACCAGCCTTTTTTTTATCATTATTATAATTTTACACTAGAATCTTCTCAATATCTCATATATTCTTCCATTAACTTTATACTTCATTACATGCCATTATCTCCCTTTTATGCATCTCAGTTATTTTATTTGCTTTTGCAGGTGCTAGTTTGTCATTAGACGCTGCTCAGCTTACTGGTAACCAGTATTCTGAGGACACTGCTGACCTCTACTTCCAAAAAGAATAGTTTCTTTGCCTGTCCTTGAATACCACAATGGCTGCAGTGCTTTCTGACTTCACTCTCTACCTTGGTTTACATATCTGTTCTAGTCAAAATCTCAGATTTCACTGATGCATGCGACAGTTAGAAAACTAACTTTTTTCAGAAGGTGGTCTAGATCTATATGATCTTGAAGTTTGTAAACTTACTTTGTGAAGATTCCCACACATTTACTTCCATGAATTCTGTGACATGTATTCACTATGCCCTGTTGGTAAACACTGCTGATTCACACATTCTCAAAGCCTGCCTTCTGAGCTACAGAGGTGCTGAGAGGAGGAGTTTTAGGAGGTGGAGTCAGTACAGGAATCACTGCTTATAGGCAGCAAGGTGCCATAGGACATGTAGTCTTTAAAGAATTAACAACAGAGAAGAAAGCTAAAAAGCATGCAGGGAGTCCAGGAAGTTGTGGAAAAAGATGGCCAGAGGACATGTATGACGGTGCAGTCCGCTGTCTCCACTGTAGGTGGTGCCTGCCTGGACAAGAAGTCAGGAGAAACCTAGTTTCTCTATGGATTCCTGGCCCCTGAAGGCAGTGTTCCAGATGGCTGCCCTGCATTCAGGTGACCCTTGGCAGCTATCTTGGGTCAGAAGAGGCTTTACAAGTCCCTGCCCCTAGGTTTTGGCACACACTTGCATGTAGTACAGTCAGATACCACGCCTGTTAGGGACAGAACTAGAGGGCAGGGAAAGGTTCCTGATGAGTAGGGAGAGCATAGGGCTTGCAGCTTCACATCTTCCTGCTTGGGTATGAGATGGCCAGGCCACACTCTGCCCCTCAACACAGGAGCTGTCAGTTTGGCTGAAACATGCTGTTTACTCGCTGTTGGAATCCGGGAGTGTTCTCGGCTGGGGTGTCTTCCCACCGGGTTTGTTGTGACTGTTTGAAACCCTCTAATATAAGTTCTTATATTGCACCTGGACTGTGTGTGTTATTGCCGCCAAACCACGCTGCACCCCACCTACAGATAGACCTACCGTGCACACAACAGGAAAGGAGATTTATCAAGTAAGCTTATATATGATTGTCAATAATACCTATTTTTTGTATTGTTAGTACACTTCTGATATTCTAAAATTAAAGTGTGACCATAGTGTGAACTCCATTTTATAATTTCAAAACGTTTTCCTTTTTTGAACTAACATATATGACACGTGTGAGTATTTCACAGATAAATAGGTAGCTGAACAGAATATTTTTTATTGGTGGAAAAAAATATAGGTTTTACTAAGACACTGAACCACAAATATATGCAACCAATGTGAAAAGCAACAGCTTAAAGTAAATATGGGTTCATTGTAAAGCCCCTAAACTTGCAGCAGACGTTTAAAAAAGACCCTAAAAGTAAACATGAAATCAAAAAAATTAAAGATTTTCTTTGTTATTGGGGAACATTTAAAAATTCTAATTGTGTCTAATGTACCTTTTATGCGGCATTCCTCTCAAAAAAATCATAGTGCACTCTCTGGTATGTGAGTGTGCCTAGGCTCTATGCATTCAGCCTCAAAACATTGTATCTGTAGTGTGAGATCTGAGGTAATGCCTCTAACTGCTAGACTGACCTGATTTAAAGTAACATTTGGTGATATCACAACTGTGCTGCTGAAGAAAGCCACCTGTCCACCAAAATGATCGCCTCCATGGAGAGGCACAGTGCAGAACAAGACAGGGTAATTCAGTAATAAAGGAAAGATCAGCTGCACGGAGACTACAGCCTGGAGATTAGTACTTTATCCTCTGCCTGTCTATATCTGGCAAATCTTTCAGAGTTCAGTTCCTTTTGCCATCCTGAGGAATTACCCCCCTTAATGACCAGGCCTTTTTTTGCTATTCAGGGCTGCACTATTTTAACTTGGAATTGTGCGGTCGTGCAATGTTGTACCCAAACAAAATGTACGTCCTTTTTTTCACACAAATAGAGCTTTCTTTTGGTGGTATTTGATCACCTGTGCGCTTTTTCTTTTTTGCACTATAAACAAAAAAAGACCGAAAATTTAAAAAAAAAAAACAATATTTTTTATTTTCGGCTATAAAAAATATATAGTAAGCTCAAAGTTAGTCATCAATTTAGCCCAAAATGTATTCTGCTACATGTTTTTGGTAAAAAAAATCCCAATAAGTGTATATTGATTGCTTTGTGTGAAAGTTTATAGCGTCTACAAACTATGGTATAGATACTGCAATTTATGCCATTTTTTGCTATACAGCGCTGCACTAGTTTAACTGACAATTGCGCGGTCATGCAATACGGTACATAAATTAAATGTATGTCCTTTTTTCAAACAAATAGAGCTTTCTTTTGGTTGTATTTGATCACCTGTGCGCTTTTTATTTTTTGATTCTGCGAACACTGTGGTTTTGTGTGCAATGTATCAAGTGACAGTGACCTACTGACACTGCACTTGCTGGGGGAGAAGTGGGGGGGGGGGGGGGGGGGGGTAAAGCATAGGGGCTAAACGTAGGTGCTGGCAGGTGCCGGGGCTGATTCCGCTAACGCTGCGTATTTGGGGACGCTATACTAATGTGAACGCTGGTATAGTGCTGATCTGATCAAAGATATTGATCCATTCAGACACTATACTATCAATGGAGGTTTATCGTGTATGTGAGCGTGTTCCTCGCAATCAAGGGGTTAAATGCAATTACTGGTGTACGAACAGGCAATCTGATGCTATCTGGGAGGGGTGCTAACAGACGCTAGCGTTATCTGAAGTCGTCAGCGACACCAATACAGTGATCAGCAAAAAATCTGTACACTGTACTAATGACTAGTGACAGGACAGTGAAGGGGTTAACTGGGGGGGGGGGCAATCAAGGGGTTAAATGTCTCCTAGAGTGTTTTAACTGTAATTGTGTAGTGCTTGTACTCACTTTTGTGTTGATTCTTCTCTCTCTGGGATGGAAGTGCCCAGAGAGAAAAGATTTCATCACTTCCTGTCCTGTGTAATTGTCAACACAGGACAGGATAGGACAGGAATCGATCATCCAACTCTGGGCCGGACATCACTGGCCTAAATCGGATGATTGATCACTCAGGGATCAAATTGGGGCACCTGCGGGTCGTTGTCGGCGCATGCGTGCCCCCCAGGCCTGCGAAGGCTGCAGGAGCGTGAATCACGTATATATAAGTGATCCTGTGCACAGGGGCGCTGTGCAGCAGTAAATGTACTGTGGGCGGTCCTTATGTGGTTAAAGAGCTCTCCAGGAAATTTGAAGCCTAGGGAGCTCTATTATGCAAATAGAAACTTTAGTCTTTGGAGGTTTTTGTTCCTTCTGATTCACGCACCCTAATACTAGTCCATTACTATGTTGTACAGCCTCATTAACAAATATTATGGTGTGAGAAATAGGGAGGATGAGTCCAAGTGCCATACTGGGAATGATGGTTACTGTTTGCTTGTGCATATGGTAGGTATGTGAATTCATGTCTGGCTTAGTTTTCAGGGCTTTAGACACAAGTTTCTTTTAAGATTGCATTAACATTTCACAAATTTTCTATTCAGATCAATGCATGTGTTTTGATGTGCTAGTGTCCTCACCTTCACATGACACCAGACACAGCGTTGGCCAGTAAGACTCTGGAAACTCTTTATCTTTTTCTGACATCGGTCGCACTTGCTGGCCTCACATCCACCTTTAACCCATATGTGAGTCTGCCCCTGAATGGAAAAACAGAATTACAGTATACACTGAGTACAGAAATTGCTCACAACGTATACGAAACATTCATATCATGTGAGAAAAGGAGACGTTGCAACTATGATTGAGCTGCACTTACACTTGCATCTTTACGGGACTTGGCGTAGGTGCTGATGCAGTCACTTGGTGCTTTGCGAGCACAACGTTCATGCACAGTAAACTTACAGACTGTGAAATAAAAAGATACATTGCTTAAATAGGAACTCCAAGAAAAATAACAAGATAAAATGAATGGCCCATTACAAGATACAATTTAAAAATAATAATAAAAAAAAAAAAAAAAAAAAAAAAACAGCTTTTGCTGCAAAATTTACCTTAAATTCAGAGATTTCCCCCAGTAGTATTTTTTTCTGCCACTAGATGTCCTTAATCTGATGGCAGCATCATTAAGCAAATCCAGGTTGTCCTGGACCCACCCTAGCCTGTAACTGGACAGTGAAAGGAGAAGCAGCACAGTAGAAATAGTAGGGTAAGGACATTTTACAACCTTTGTATTTTACTGCTGTCTGTGTTCCTACGAACACATGGAAACACAGAGCATTTACTGAAAAAAATGTAATTCAGCTGGACCAATACCAGTACTGAAAATGTCATCCTAAGTTATTTATCTTTAGATGGATTCAGTTTCTTTTGAAGAAGTGGCACCAGTCAAGCAGTCTGGCTGCAAACTGGTAATGCAGGCATTGCTCTGGGGATGGATTCGGGGAAGCTCTTGCCATACTGAAGGCCCCTTGAACCCCTTTAAGGAAAGGGAGCCTTGAATGATAGAAGCATGGCATTACAGTGAGTACTGACTCAAATCAAGGAAGTAAAGTGACTTTGTCAGGATTGGCTACAAGGACATGAGGGGGAGAAGCCTGAATTCTAGAAAAAGGTTATGCTGGGCATGTACTTAGCCATAGGGAAGGATGAGCAGCTCTGGATACAGACAGATTGCATCCAGGGCTGCTTATCGGCTCATCCGGGATCCAATAATTCAGAATCCTACAGCTGAACCACATGCAATTTAACCCTGGTAATGCAGCAAGACTGTTCAAAAGTAAAGACAATCAAGGGTAGTTTTAACTGACAGCTTGGACATTAGATTGTTCAATAAATAAGTCCACAAATAGCACAGCCAGAGGGCTGATTGAAAAAAAAAAAATTAACAGATTTCCACCTCTACACATGTGAGGTGGACAGAGGAATCCTCTCTACTGTACCACTATATTCTGACAGTAGCACTCCTCCACTGTCAGAATACACTGATCAGAAGCTGCAGCCGATTGGCTGCAAGCTGCTGATCGACCAAGAGTTTTCCAAAAGTACTGTTTAACAAAAATCAATCTGTTAAGTGGGAATGGCTATAGAGGAACTTCAGCTGAGTCTAAAAAAAAGTAAAGGTCAGTAGATTCGTGTACTGTAGCTGCTGAGTTTTACATAACAAGTACTTACTAGAACAAGAACTCCAGCGCTGTTTTCCTAAAACATGAAGTCTTCAATGTTGTCCCACGCTGCCATCTTGGATTTGGGTGCCCATGCTGACTTCCTGATCAGTTACAGGCAGCCCCCTACTGCACATGCATGAGATGCACTGATTGGATGAGACTGTCCAGAAGCCTCCTAGGATGTGTAATATGATCTCAGGAGGTTTTGGACAGGGGATGGGGGGGGGGGGGGGGGTATACCCAGCAAACTACATCCTCGCCTTGGGAAGGAATAAGAAAGTGGGAGTAAGTACCTGATGGAGAAGGTACTTTCTACCACAAAAAAAAAAAACTTTCCAAATGTATAAAGGGGAGGGGGAAGATCTAGGATTATTATATTACAGTATAAGTACAGCTTCACACTGAGCCGCTGCACTTTGTCCGCAGCTTGGTGTACCCACGCACCAAAAGTCCACATGCAAGACTTTTGGTACGCTTTCAGAAAATACACCAAAACCGTGGGATGCAATAGAAGTCTATGGCAAAGCGCAGCTAACCAATGCCAACACCAAAGGTATGCTGTGTTGCAGTCATGCTGTGGCTAAAGCACAGCAGAGCAGTGAAGCCAGCCTAACACAATAATACATTTTAGGCCAATAACAGTGATCAGATTTCACACTTTTCTTGCCAGTTGTTATACATTATCTTTACATAGATACCATCCTGCTTTTTCTGTCTACTCACATGTGCAGCAGAGGCCTTGTTTCCTGACACCAAACAGCAATGCTTCGCACACATTACAGTACACAGGTCGGTTAAAATGTTTGAGACGCCACAGATGTTGACCATCATCTTTAATATTCTGTGTAAAATTGAAACACAACGTATAAAAAAGTTATATCTTAACACCAGCTTTAGATTAAAAAAAAAATGTTTTTTATGCTTCAGTAACTATCTACTTACAGCTTCCATTCCAAGCAGCACCAGTAGGGGTACTGTGGTGAGCCCTCCCTTAAGCCATTCCTCATAGGATACAGTTCCGTTGCCATCATAATCCACCTGTCTCATCATCTCTTCCAGCATCTGCAATAAAAAATGTAATCATAACATCATATAGATGCATGAAACACATTTCATGTAAAATGCATGCCTTAGTAATTTAATGAGCCATATTCTTATGTCCTCCTTATGAGAATCCTCCTTATTTTATTAATAACTTCCTGTTTTCCTCTGTTCCTCTCGTTAGATCATGACTCAGCTCACTATCACATACAGCCCAGACACATACTAAATACACTACAAAGTACTGAAGTGTCACTTCCTATAATTATGGGCACACATGGCACACATCAGTGGTATGGATTGTAAAAATCTATGACAAGAACCAAGAAATGGAAAAAGAAGGTGAAAAGTGTCAGTAAAATATGACTTACCGGTTTAAGCTCAGTAATATCCCAGTCTAAGTACTCAGCAACTCTCATCATTTGGGTTATGATTCGATCTACCTCCTAACAGAAAAACAACATTTCAGTATAATATTTAAATAGTTAAAGATTATTGCAAAGAAAATGTATTCACACCAAAGGGGACCTGAGTGCAGAGATAATAGAAAACTATGGAGTGATGGACTACTCCACACATTTCTGGAATTATTTTACCCTAAACTTCTCCGTTCTTTTTTTTTTTTACTCCCATACCACTAAAGATCATATCAATGCAATTAAAAATATTAAAGCACATTCCGGTGTCAGAGCAAAACTACTATTTCTGGCTAGGATATGTTATATATTATTAATTTATTATTATTAATTGCACCAATTTAGCATCTAGAAAATTCACAAATTCCCATATAGTTTATTTTCTTATGGCTGTAAGCACTTAGCTCTGTTCAGTAAACTGTGAATATTGCAAAGCATCAATCACAACTAGCACCAATAGATGTATTAAAAATGTACAAATCTCCTAAAGTGGAAGTAAAGCCTATTCTTAAAAATGTTCACCCCCTCCTCTATCCTGCCTACCCTGCATAAAAAAGATCTGCATACTTAATTTTTTTAATATGCTCTGGTCCGGTAACATGATTCTCCCGTGTAAAGGAGCGCTTTACAACAGCCGTGAATTCCCAGAACCGTGACTTCACCCATAGGTTTGCATGGCCCAGACCTTGTTGGTCCACTGCAGCAGCTAACTGACACAGGATCACAAAGCACAAAGCAACAGAATCATGTGACCAGAAAGGGGCAGATTAAAAATAGGCAAGGAAACAGATTATTTTTTATACAGGGTAGGCAGGCTAGGTAGGAGGAAAAGGGAAATAAACTTTAAGAATAGTAACAATTAGGTTTTTCTTGTACTATAACTGTTTACTTAAAGTGTTAGTTTACCTTTACAAAATATTGTAATGGTGACCCTATAGCGGATCCCCTCCCCATCCCTCAGTCCCTGCTGTTGAGATTATCAGCTGTCAGGGCTCCTGCAGCCGCTTCACTGGTCCAGGGATTTGAAAAACCTGCTGCTCTCTCTCCTTTCTGTCTTGCACTGCCAGGACAGACCCGATGGATTCTGATTGGTAAGTGCATGGGTGGCATTGACCTATTAGATTCCATCTAGTTTGTCCTGGCAGCCCAGAAAGGAAAGGAGAGTGGGTATCAGGGATTTCAAATCCCTGGACCAGTGGAGTGACTGAGGGAGCTCTGACAGCTGAGGATTGCCAGCAGTAAGTACAGTGGGGTACAGTGGGGTGGGGGGTCCGGTGTTCATTCAGCTTTACAGTTTTTCTGTAAAGGTGAACAAAAACTTTAAGCTTTGTGAATCGTTATGGTAAGGGGAAGGCAAAGAACAAACTTGCAAGGTTAATGTAGAGTACAGTACCACCTTTCTAAATTATAAAGCATTCATAAGCTATCACTTTTTGGTGTGGCAATGGTTTTTAACAACCTACTCTAGATTTAGGCATTATTGTAACATTACTTGTATTACTAAATTGATTCAAGAGGCTGTCAGATGTTTGTGTCCTGGGAATTTGATATATGTTATATAGTATACGAAATACCCAGAACAGAAAACATTGTGCCTTGCTGAAGCAGGAAAGGGATTACAACAGTATCCCACCTTGAAATGTTCAGTCCACAGTAAGGAAAACAGACTGTCCTATCAAATGGAGAAAGTTTAGCACTGACTCTCCCTAGGGCAGGTCGCCCAGTAAAAAGGACTCACAGCCTCCCTGATCAACATAGTAATAAAGCAGCCATGAATATATGGGTTAGGACTGCACTCCTTTGACATACCTATATACAAGTTACTTTCTTGATGGAAAAAACATGTTTGTATGTTTTGAGTTTTTTCTCTTTGCATATATGTATATATTACATATTCTAATTATATGTATACAAGTACGAGGTGTGACAATTCTATTCCCAGAATGCCTGCAGCTTAGCACTATGGTGATGAGTCACACAGCCAATCGCACTCAAGCGTGTTATGACATGTTCTAACTTGCACTCGCCTAGGTCACAAACCAGCCGACTCAGTCTTCACCAAGTAGTAGAAGAAATAACACGTGTGCACGTGGTGTTGGTGGAAAATGAGTGACAGGAATCAGGAGCAGCACCCTGCGACATTTGGCCGTTTTGCTAAATTAATGAATGCCTTAAAAAGGACACAGATTTAGTGACATACCAGACATCCAGCACACCACAAAATCCAGGAATGTTTCCAGCAGTGGCACAGTAGTCTAGAAAAATGCAGCGCTTTACAAGGGGCCAGCTTTGAACATGACAACAAGCGGAAGCAAACATGTTTTTTACAGTCCTTTCCGGGAATTAAATTGTCACGCCTTGTATATGTTCACAAAACCGTGTGTCAAGGCTTAGGACATTCGGTTTATTCTCATAAACATAACTTTTATTTATCTCATTGCCTGAGCAATAAATAAGGAAAATGCCTTATTCCTGGATATCACAGAAAAATTTTAACCATTGTACCTCTTTTCACAGCTAAGTGTACATAGGGGTGAAAATGTGATTGATTCATGAAGCTTTAAGTCCTCATGCACATCGGACATTTTTACAGCTGCTGTTTTTGACTTTTGGCATTTTTTTCGACAGCCAATAAACTCCCCAGCATGTTATCCTATGTGTCCATGCACACACAGGCTGTAATCAGCGGTTTTTGGCAGGGGTGTTTTTTGACTGGGAAAAAAACCCAGAACTAGTGGATTTCTAGAGGAGTTTTTTTACCTGTAAAAAACACTCTAACGCTGAAAAAACGTGGTAAAATGCGGTAAAACACTGCAAAACCAACATTTTTGGACTTTTTTTGAGCAAAAAAAATATTTTTTTTTTCTTGGTAAAAAACGCAAAAAATGCAAAACAGAAAAACGCAGCTAAACGCTAATACAAAAACGCTGAAAAAACGTTTTTAACGTGACTTTACACAGCTAATGCTACCAGCGTTATTAAAACGCCCAGTGTGCATGGAGCCTTAAGCTCAAGTTTAGCTAAAATAAAAAATAAAAAAAGCAAAACAAAACAAAAACTTCTATGGTTTTAGGCTAGGTTCATCCCTATGTGTTTTGCAGTGCATTTTCAGTTTTGCAGCAACATACTACAGTCCATTTAACATATTTTCACATCTGTGTTTTCAACCAGCCTGAAGCAGGTAGCGTTTTTAGTTCCGTAGACTTTAATGGAAACATATCAGAAACACATCATGGGGAGGCACAGTGGCTTATTGGTTAGCACTTCTGCCTTGCAGTACTTGGGTCATGGGTTTGATTCCCGACCATGGCGCCTCCTGAATGAAGTTTGCATGTTCTCCCTGTGCTTGCGTGGGTTTCCTCCGGGTACTCCGGTTTCCTCCCACATTCCAAAGACATGCTGGTAGGTTAATTGGATAATGTGTAAATTGTCCCTAGTATGTGTATGTATGAATGTGAGTTAGGGACTTCAGATTGTACACCCCTTGAGGGTTAGGGACTGATGTGAATGTATAATATATATGTAAAAGCGCTGCGCAAAGTGACAGCGCTCTATAAGCACCTGTAATAAATAAATAAAATAAATTAATGCAAGCAACCAAAATGCAAGAAATCAAAAACGCTATGTGCTGCAGGCCAGTTTCTGCTGCATTTTTTGTTGGTTTCTCTTGTATGACTACAGACACCTCCCAGAATCGCAAAACACAAAAAAATGCATGTTTAAAGAAGAAGCAAAACACACAGGAAAAATGCATAAACCGCAACCTGCATAGGTGTGAACTCTTAGTGATCTAACTTACTTGTAATGAAGGATGACCAACACTGTGCAGCCAGCTGGATCCTGTAGAAGTGTTCTGTGCTGGGATGTCCTGTCCCATTCCTGTCTCTGAACGTCTGGAGCTACGATGGATAATAGCTTGGGGGTCTTTGAGCAGAACTGCAGTGAAACGCTACTGACAGGGACTTTCCTCCTTCTCAATTCTCCTCCATTAAGGTATTTAATTTTTTTACATTGCCTGTAACACAATGGGGGGGGGAGGATCATTTCATTATTCTGATTCTCCCCCATTCACTGATAATTTTATATGCAGATTACAAAATTAAAGAACTTTTCTCAATTGAGGAGGAGGAGGGAAGGTCCTCATCAGGAGTTTCTTCACTGCAGTTCAGCCTGGAGACCTCAAGCTATTAAAGTACTGCGCCAGAAGCTCTGAACCAGGAAGAGGACTGACATCCCTGCACAGAAGATGTCTACAGGATCCAGCTGTCTGCACAATATCCAGCATCCTTCATTACAGGTAAGTTAAGCCAACTATGATTTAGAGAGTCAGCTTCTGCCAAACTTTAAATTTAAACAAGGATAACAATGTTTATTTTCCTCAAGTGACTGTCCCTGTCTGGCTGTGTTAGCTTTGTGAATTGAGCCTAATATTAGTAAACAAGCTGGTCTATCAGAATATGTAAAAATACAAGTAACTTACAGAACTGTCCAGAAGTCCATTGCTGTCTTTATCATATAGTTTAAAAGTAACTGTAAAAGAAAAAAGTAGAAAATAATTAGTAAAATCCTGGCTGTAATGAAGCTTTCTAACAGGAAGATGGCGACATTCTACTTTACACCAACACACAGCAGAACATCTGGAATGAAAATGTTACCATTATGCTTTTTTCTGTGTTACAGATCCGTAAACCACATTTAATGTAGTGTGTGGCATTAGCAATGTAATAGTTGGTATTAGTGTAATAATGATATCATTGCAAATGCAAGATAATCAGCTTGCTTGTTTTCTTTTACACACAAATTCTACACGGTTTACAAGAGTTCACATTTCTTTATTTGATCTAAATCGCTCTAAAGAGCTTCTAGCTACACCAGCACTTACGCTCACCATAAACATTACAGACCAACTGTACAATCTATGTACAATTTCCTTTAAATTTACCTTAACTATGCATTACAAAGACCTACAAGACATTCACTTTGTAACCATTCATGTACTATGTAATCAGGTAAGCACTCATACTACATAGTTACATGTAAGGGGAAAAGAGGGGTGAGCATAGATGGCACTTTTAACAAATGCCTGTCACAGGTGCAGCCACTCATATTAATGGTTGCAGCACCAAAAGATCACAGCTGTTGGAGTACCAGGGAACAGACAATTTCAGATTTCAACCTAAAACAGCAGCCACCAGCTCATGGGACACTCTTCATTCATTGTAAGTACTCTCCCTGGTGCTATTTTTTTTTAATTCACTAAACTTCAGTTTTAAAAGATGGGACATATATATATATACACACATATAGTCAAGAAAGAACCCCCTAAAAGCGTATAGGTATTGAGAAAAAACAAACCTACATACTAACCTAGGTGGATGCAGAATTGATCCAATGCTGCATCTTTCTCCCACCGAGCTGATTGCTTGGTTCTCTGTCTTCACTGAGCAGAGAGTGGTGACCGTCAGGCCTGCTCCTCCAGCACTCACTGGAGCACCTGGATGTGAAGGGGCAGTAGTGGCTGGCTCAGGCTCTCAGCGGTAGAAATACCCTTAACTTAGGGGTGTCCAACCTGAGGCCTGGGAGAGTTCAGCATGCGACCTGGGGCATGTCTGGAAAAACCCTGTGCAAGAAAAGCCAGGCAGCTAGCATGTATAAAGGGTTGCAGGGGATGCCGTGTATATCTATTTGCATAGAAGAAGCGGCAGAGAGAATGCAAGAATGAGCACATAAAGGGATGCTGGGGGTGCAGTCTGTGTAAAAGCATCAGCAACAGCTAAATAGGGATACTACATTGCACCAGGCAAGTAAATGCCACTCTGCTGTATGGAGGAGGGGGGGGGGTGTTGAAGTGATCTGTGCCCCCCCAGATTTCAGTTGTGCCCCCCCCCCCAGGTATCAGTTGCTCCTCCCGAAGCTCACAACCTCCCCTCTACCTACCCACACAGTTGCAAACCACCATTAAATTCAAGGACAATTTGTAAAATCTATTATTTTTACATCTGTCCATGAACATCTGTTATGGAAATGCAGAACATTTTCAGGTACTAGTTTTATCTTGCCCTTATTTATAGTGATCTGCCTGATTTTTTTCTGCTCATCTGCTATTATTGTTGTTTATCCAAAACTGTCAAATACAACACTAGTTTTATGTTACCCTCTTTTACTTTTATAATAAAAATATTACAGAATGTTTTGTTGCTCAGATAGGCACATTATCTAGATCAGTAATTGTTAACTTGTGATCTGCCCGACTTTTCTGCTCATCAGCTATCCTTATTGTTAGTGTATTTTCTGTGCAGTCCAAAACAATTCCTCTTCTTCCAATATGGCCCAGAAAAGTCAAAAGGTTAGGGAGATTCAAAATATAATTGCATTTTTAAGGCTAAGTTTACATGTGTGTCAAGAACAGACATTTCATTTGCGTTTTAAAAGCCGTCCATGCTCTGCACCAATTATGTCCATCACAGCTGACAGTGTACTTCACATGGTCATGTTTGCATTGCCTCTCACGCTTCAAGCCAAAATTTATACCGCAAGTTTTACTGCATCCCAGAAATCTCCAATAATATCAATATAAAACGTGACACAAATGCCTCACAAATGTGCCTATGGTGTTTACAGCTCATTTAAAATGCATTTAGAAAGTGTTACTAGCTGAGATGATAGTATGAGAGTCCACACAGCAGGAAACCAACACAGAGGAGGTGTCTGGCAAGCGTTACATAATGCAATACAAATGGCATAGTATGTACTATACTCAAAGAGAGGATGACACTGAGAATAACAGGAACTGTCAGAATTTAAGACACTGACAATTTTAGTGAAGATCTATAAAGCATTCCACAATAGGAAAGGTAGGAAGACAAGGAGTTAATAGTCAATTTTATATTCAGGGAAAATGGCAGGAAAGTGATGTTTGTCAACCATGTAAAGAAATAAGCCCTTCTTTAAAGAGAAAAGGTCCTAGAAGAGATAGACACCACAGGGGGTACGACTCCAATAGTATTATACTCCAAAGTAAAAAAGGGTTGGAAATAATGAACGAGGGGTAATAAGTCCCAAAATAGACCCCATACAATACAAGTCCTACATTGTGGGGAGCCAAAGTAATCCAGAATTTTGTACACTGGAGTACAGAAAATACAGAAAAATAAATATGGTCCAAAGTAGAAGCGACAGGCTGAAGCCGGAGCATTCATATTTATAGGAAGAAAAACCTCTCAGAGATCCAACAAAATGAGGACACAATAACCCACAAGTAAAAGTGTGAATATACTTCTAAACAGAAGGTTTATGGCTATGAGATCTTCGGTTCACACGAGGGACAAGCTATGATCACCTAAGAGATATTACAGCTGTACTAGCTAAAGAATGGGGTCTTCTGTCTCATCAACAAGCCTCTTTGTGATGAAGAAGAACCAAGAGGTTCATCCATGCCCCTAAAAAAAAAGCTCATCCTCGAAGACCACTTAGCTTTGATGCTCATTTTTACAAGAAAAACATGCTCATGAACCCTGCAAATCCTGCACTGTCCACTTCTCTTCTGCTGCACATACTGTCCTGTGCTGCCCTCTCTATGGTCTCCATCTTGAGCTGGCTGTATCTTCCTAGTTCTTGCAATTGGCCCCTTGATGAAACAGTGCCAGGTTCTTTCTTCTCCAGTGCTGTCTGTATGCGTGAAGCCTCCTGAGATACGTGACATCATTACCCAGGAAGCTGTGGGAGGAGGCTTTATGTCTTTCTTGCCTAGGTGAAAAGTGATGCAAGGGGAAGGTCTTAAAAAAAAACACAATATAGAGCCCATAGCCTGAAGATTACATGATAGGCAATGCACATCTCATTGTTCATAGCTCACATATCATGATATTATAATACATCAAGGGGCTTGCTTACACTGGGAGACATCAGAAGACTTGTTACACCAGAGGCTGTACCGCTGATCTAAAACTGGAGAGCACTCTGCTGTTAAATTACACAATACACACAGGTCTGAAAAATGCCCTATTGAAGAGCCCAGTGTCCAAAAGTCACATTCCAGGCTAGCCCCATTATCTTTGGTCCAACAGGGTCCGGATATGACCTCCAAGGCTGTTACCAAAGATAATCAGATCAGGATAGCTACTATGTGGAGACAAGCTCAAGTAGCATATCAAACATCTCAACTGAAAAAAAACCTCTGCAGAGAGAGTAAACTGACATAAGAACTTAAATTAGTAACAAAAAATAAAATATTTCCTCAGGAGTTGAGGAAAAAAGGACACTAGCAAAAAAACTAGCAAAAAAACTGAAGCATGTTGAATAGGGGCAGGGGGGTATAATGTCTGGCCTTCATTGTTTTTTTCTGTTTGCCAGTGTCCATCTTCTGTAGGCAGCTGCATTTAACCCATATGTTCAATAATTACTCATTTCTGTGTTCAAGCGAACCTGTTGCTTTGCCCTGCAGGAGGTTCACTTTAAAAAAAAAAAAGGTCAGCAATGACAGCCTTTTTTAGGATTTAGAGCACTATTATAGAGCTCTATCTTTAGAAGTGTGTGCACATCTAAGTGGATGTTGTGGGTGGCCTTTTACTGTAATGTAAAGAGAGAGCAGAAATCATTAATCTCTTGATAACCAAGCTGAATCTAGTGACCTGATTTCCATTTCTGTTCCTTCAGCCCTACATAATTTCTTCTTGGCTAAAGACAGGAGCATGTTTCAATCATACTTGAGCGCCTGCTTATAGCCAGGCATGGAAATAAGAAAAAACTACACAGAAAGGAAAGGAATAAGACATTAAAGGGAAGAAAAAAAGAAAACATGAAAAGGAAGGAGACAAAAGTTTTTTCTGTAAATCTTGGATAGAGAGGGGTAAAATAAGAACATCTGTTTAATACAGTGTTCACCAAACAACCAGAATAAAAGTCTATGTATGTTGTAAATAGTGTGTAAACTATATAAATAGTTTCAAAAAATATAAAATCCCATCAAAGAAGTCCTGGAACTTTTAGATTCATTTGCACACTTATTAACCACTTCATGTCCGGACACTTTTACCCTCTTCCTGTCCAGGCCAATTTTCAGCTTTCAGTGCTGTCACACTTTGAATGACAATTGCGCAGTTATGCAACACTGTACCCATATGAATTTTTTAGCATTTGAGACAGATAAAAGTTTATTTTGGTGGTATTTATTCACCACTGGGATTTTTTTTGCTATGTAAATGAAAAAGTCCAAACAATTTGAAAAAAAAAGTGTGTTTTTCTAATAAATTTTTCTCTTTCTTTCTTTCTTTCTTTCTTTCTTCTTCATAAATCTTGGCCAAAATGTATTCAATCATCTTTTTAGAAAAAAAATACCCAAATTAGTAACCAAAAATTATAATTAAAATTTTTTTTAATTTTATTTTCTGTTATTTATGGGTTTTTTTTACATACTGTCACCCTAGCAGTACAGTGTCACCATAGTGACACTGTACTACTAGTAGGGGGTGATGAAGATTTTTTTTTTTTTTACACTGATTGCTTTTACACCCATAAAGGCTGTAAAAGCA